GTTCAAGTTTGTTCGATCACCTGAGACTCAGGTGCCCTTAGTTCTAAGTTCAGCTGTTACTCTAGCTCCAAGAGATGGAATTTATTTGCGAGTTAAACGAGTAAAGAGTCTGGTGTAAAGACAGATGTCTAGAGTAACCGTCTGGAAAGGGCTCGATCTTATGTCCCACCCTGCACTGCAAGTTTTACTTATCCTTTGGTTAAGGGTCCTTAAGTGATGGAAGAATCAAAGTTGAAGGGAAGGGTGGGAGAGGAGGGGTTTAGAAGGGACTAATGTCCACCCCTCTAGTTTCGCTTTCTTCTCTTCCCAAGTTTCAATTGCTTTCAAAGGTTAAGATGGTGCTTTTGCGCGTGCTTGCTCGAAAAAGAAAAAAGCTTGCTTTGCAGACAGCTGGTTACCATGTACAAGACGACGCTAATAACAGTGTTCTTTAACACAGTGAATTTGCTTTAAACGCAAAAAGCTTAGAGCCACTTCTAGCTATATTCGTAACAAGAAGATAGGTGTCAGCCTTACAAAGTTACATATCGTGAAAATGAAATATCTGTGGGACCAACCATCCACTAATGACTCCCCTCCTCTTAGGTCTGCCCCTCGCAGAGGTGTCCGCCACGTAATTCACTATGTCTGTGTGGTTCGACCAAGCCCCTCAGCAGAGGGAAGCTGCGACGAATTCGTCTGCGAACCCACCGGAAGCCGCCAAAGGTTAACAGTGCGACAAGCACTCATTAAGTTTTAATAATGGTTCAAATAACACAACGCTACTTGTTAATTAGATTTTGGGGCCTCAAATCCTCCTTATGTTTTAAAGCAAAATATTCTCTTCTATATGATTGACTGGTATGGGTTTGCTTTAATTACTTCAGTCATGGCCACGTGTTTGTTAAAAAACACTGAAAAAAAATAAACAAACAGGCAATCGATTTTTCTTTGATACACTGTATGCTACGCGTAACTTTATGGTTAATTAAAAAAAACCCCGGCTCTACAGTTGGATTTACCTGGCATAAACGCGTTTAACAACAACTCTTGCGGTTTTCGTTTTCAAATGCTAACAATCCACCCATGAAGGAATAAAGTATACTCAGTAGCTAAAGCAGTTGAAATCGCTGCATTTCAAACTAAAACAAACTGTGCACTGCAAGTGAATATGTTCGATCTTTAGCACTGTGTTAGACGAGTGAGTGCTTCATTGAAGTTACTGTTAGAACTAAAACGTTCGAGTGAAGTATTCACGGTTAAAAAATATCACATCGTCAAGTCTAATTATAACGAAGTTTCTCTAAAAATTGCTTGCAGTTATCGAGTTGTTGTTCCAGATCTTTCACTGTCTCTTTCCCTCTTTCAATTTCTTTTTCCTTTTTCTCTTTTTCGTCTTGAAGCTCCTTGATTTCGGATTCCATTTTTCTGTGTTCCGATTCAGCCTTCTCCAGTTCGTTTCTTTCTTTTAACAAATCCTGTTCGGTTTTCTGTATGAGTTTCTCAACGCTGGCTTTGACGTTAGCGGCTAGTTCAGTATTCCCGATGCTTTCAGTTTCCGTAGCAACGTCTGAGGTGGTCGACCGATCCCAGCTGCCGCGTTTTACAGCACGGTTAGTACTTGCTGAGGCCGGCGCTTCGGTAGGGTCTTGAAGAATAGTAACTTTGGATTCACTATCATCATTCCATTGTTGCAAATGCGAGCAAACCGACTGTAAAGTCACTCCACCTCGCAAAGGATCCTCAGAAAAGGTCGAGGATTTATCGGTAATCTTTGGAATTTTGGCCGGTGGAGCCAGATCTGGAACAAATACCGCACTGCTTGTTGGTTCAAATGTGTTGTTAACTTCCGATTGTTGTTCCTTTTCGTTAGCGGCTTCGTTCTCGCCGTCACCCATACTAATATGATCTTCATCGTCATCTCCATTTTGATCATCGTCGACGTTTTCTCTCTCGTTTTGTTTCCTCTGGTTCAAAATTTCTTCCGCTTTTTGTACTGACAAAACGAACTCTTGTTTCAGTATGAGGTCGACGAGTTCCCTTGCCTCTTTTTGGGTTTTACATCTGGCTGCTACATCGATAAATGTGTCACCTTGCTCATTCTTTTGTTGCAAAATGGTTTTCAGCCAGTCAAGAGGCAGTGACTCACTGTTTTTGTTTAAAATTTCTTTCAGCTTAACCAGTGTCCTCTTCAAATACATTAGGAAGGGAGCCGTTGAGCTTTCGTCTCCTTGGGCACACAGGTGCAGGACTGTGTTACTGTTGCTACCTTCTTGAACTAAGAGTAGGTATGGATCACGTTTTAACAACAACTCGAGTATGTTGACAAAGATGTTGGATATTTTGTTCGGATCTTTGCTCTTGACTCCCTCGTGAAGACATCGCACCATAGAAAATACCACTGTTTCATTGGACATGCCCTGTGTATTGCCTTTTCTTAAGCTAACGCGGTCTTCGGTCAAAAGCCACTGGACGGCCTTAGCCTTTCCAAGCGTAGCTACCCAATGCAGTAATGGGAGACGAAAATTAGGATTCGGATCTTTCAAGGGCTCGTCGATGTCATTGTTTAAACTGATTACATGCTCCTTCCATGCATCCAAGCTTGCTCGGTCTGATTCATTTAGGTTAATAAGCGACATTATCAAATCATTATGCTGACCCTGGAATTCACAATTTTCTTCACAGAATGGAGTACAATTTGTGGCTTGTTTGTCCTTCTTCTTCTTCTCGCCTCCTTGAGCACTATCTTCTGCTGGGGGTAACTTTGAAGACGAGTCCATTGTACGATTGCTGCTCTGTTCGGCAGCTTAAGATAAAATAAAAGATAAGAAATAAGAAATCAATATGTAACACGATTTAAAGGAACAGGCGGGCTCACGGTTAAGCGCATGCTCATTATAACTAAACTACCTTTTTCCAATTTATTATCAATTCTATCGGTTAATAATCCCAGTCGCATGTACCTTAGCAATCTCAGAGTGTATTTCAAAGTAGAATTGTCTTTCAGAGTAACCTGAAGTAGGATGGAGGAGTACTAAAATCGCACAAAAAAAATTAGTGGATTATGCCAACACTACCAAAGTTGAATTTATCGTTGACCCGAAGGTTTTATTCCATGGTTGATTAATTTACAGCTATTTGCAAATATTTAAGTTGATCAGGTGCAAGTATCTGCCAGTGGATTGTGCAGATTAGTTCTTTGACAACATTATGACATGATCATATTGCTTGCATAGACCATACAGCATGTCCCGGCAGAAAAACAGCATTTTGATAAATGAGCATGCGCTGAAACGTGAACCTGTCCCTTTAATAAGAAAACAGTAGGAAGAAAGAAATCTGTCTGTATAAAGGCAGCATTTTTAAACTTGAAGTTAGAGACAGTTTACTGAATCATCACTTAGAGGTGTGCAAGGCCGGATTCAGGATGGAAAAATAGTTATTAGATCGATAAAAATAATAGTAATTGACAATCAGTGAAAAACAAAATAAACTACCGATAATTATGCAAATGATTCAATTTAATACCTGGTTTAAAATGATTTTCTTTCGAAACTCTCATACCCAAAACAAAGAAAAATAAAATGAAATCCAAGCATGAAATTGAACCACAACGTACAAGTTCTTGCACAGGCGGCTCTCAAATCTTATTAGCAAATAATATGTAGATTTCAAAAGCCAAAAGCAAAGCTTTTGAGGGATGTTTTAAGAACTATCTTACACATTAAAGTAATTTAAATATTGTCGTAAGCAGAAAGCAAGATGAATGCCACCTTTCAAAATTGGACCCCAGCCTGCGATCAATTGAAAACCAAAAACTGGTCAGCGGATAACTTTAAAAAATGAGTTGTAAACCTGAGCCCGCGAACAGTCATGTGACACTGGTCAGCGGATACCTTTTTTGACAGCTTTGACCATAACATGGATTTACAATACGAAGTTTAAAGTATTAAAGTTTGCCATTTCAAATCCGCTAACATGAAGGGGTGGACGTACGAATGATTTTGTCAGAACCAAAGTTTCTTGGATGTATAGATAATCAAATTTTGCTACCCATGGTGCTCCCCTTCGCGCACACGAGCTCTGCTATAATAATGATGAATAAATGAATGAAGATTACTTAAGTCCCTAAGTGAGTGAGTACACGGTCAGTTTTAGGTGTGCGGTCTGGAACAAGCTGAAGGATCTTGGGGACATTAGGAAAAGGCTCACGGAATAGATCAAAGAGGCTTCCGAGTATTTCTTGGTTCCAGACCTTACACAAGCGGACCGCTTATTTTATGATGGCTTCTAAAGAAAACACTAAAGTATTTGATAATCTTTATTTATTTATTCACTGTTGTCTAAAATTTCCAGAGGATACTTGAGCTCAAAGGAAATCAAACCAAACATAGAAAAATAACCAGAAAGCCTCGGAGTCATGTTAGAATTTTAATGTATCGAACGTGGGCTATTCGCGTGTTAATGGATATGAGAGCTTGATCATGTGACACTGGCGACGCTTCGTCTCTACTCATTTGAGAAAAGATATTTGCGGCCAACAATCAAGAGTGCTTTAAACTACAGTAAATTAATGAAATTTGAGCATTTGGTCAGACAGATGGATTTTAGAAGCGAATAAAGAAAAAACCAGATCGCGGATTAAGACGAACAGGATACGTCATCCGCGACGGGGGGCACTGACCTACAGAGTATTCTCGGAAAGCGAAAGTGCCTTTCCGGGAACTGAAATGAAATATTCAGTTTGTTTTACTAACGGTAAATTTCCTCCTCATTTTCTTTGATTCTTCATTCTCACCCACAAGCTTGTGTTTTGTAAGCAGATGAATCCAAACACTCGAAGAACTTTTACAAAATTTGTCATCAACAGAATCAAGACGATATTTGGAACCGCGTTCCTTTACATGTGCATGATATTCACCAGCGTTTTGTATCGCTTATCACAATACATGAATGCAGTGAACACCGATATGGTGCTTGCTTGCTTTGCGTCTTGGCGATTATGTATTTAGGTCTTGCAGATTGGTTTCCTACTCTCCCGACCGCCGAAACAAGTCGGTTATATACCTGAAAAGGCTCGTTTGTTAAGCTCAACTGGACCTTGGATCCGAACGAAAGTAAACACAATATAGACACTCTAATAATGTGGATTCTAAAATTCCTCACATCTTTAATACCTACCTTTTAAATGATCCTTTTACACCAAACTTACCTCGGCTGCGAAACCCGACGTTTTCGAAAACCACGGCGACCCACAGAGCAACAAAACGTTTTGAGGGCGCGCTGTCAATTTGCTACACCGCAGTGTGTCGCGCAGTGTAATAATAAATTAGTAAGCCACTAGCCCCAGGCTCCTCTCCGTTCGAGACGGCGAAAGTCGCAGCCTGGCCCATAGGAGCCGCGTATATTTTACGTACTACTCATTTAAGCATTCAGTTTGAGATATTCCACTGTTTACATTATGCAATAATATATGTTTTTTTTCGTACCAAGTTTGTTTGCAGCCTTATTTTTTGTTACATCACCCAACCCACTGCTTTCTCAGTAGTCAAATGGCTGTTCCCTATTTGGCTTTGTATGAATAAATTACATTTTAATTAAGTCACAGATTATATGCTGGTTTTCACTAACGTTTTCATTAGCGACAGAATCAGAATCACCCTGCAAGCAAAGCCTCATTTTTCTTCTTCTTGATTGAGAAAGAGAAAAAGAGGCTCTGCAAGAATCGCGTCAAGTCTCTGAAGTCGCCGCAACGGAGTTCTGAACTTATCAGTCAAGTTCTCTATCGTCAAACTGGTTTTTCGAGAGCTGGCGTCCTTTTTTTGATGAATCAACGGTCATAACAAGCATCCCCGTATACGCGTATGGTCCATTGCAGAGAGTACCCCCCTGCTTCTGCCCGGGATGGGGAAATAAGTCAGTTTCTTACAAAGCCAAAACGTTAAAACACAAGGCGCAGCAAAGTACCCTTGAAACACTTGTGAAGGCAAAACCACAACGACAAACCAGTGAGGGTCAGCCAGATCTTTAGTAGGCCCTGATCAGTAAAATCTTCAATACCAAATTCATCTTGTATCTATTTATTTTGCTTTTATAGCCCCCGTTGAAGGTTTGTGTTGCAAACCGAAATATCGGGCATATATAATTCACCATCTTATTTTGCTTTGTTTATTTATTTTTCCTATCACTCTTCCTGCCGTAAGGATCAGTTGACTGTTCTAATTTTAAAATTAAGTTCCCTTGAACCTGATCAACTTCGTTTCCGGGACAGTAGAGAACCCTGGGAACGAAGTCGGAACCTAATGAATCTGCACGAACTGCCAGTTTAATTATTGAAAGGCTTAAAAACCTTTCCTCTCTAGGTCTGTTGGCTTTAAATTTATCAGATTTTCCCTTTACTTTTGTATACTCTTGATAGCCATGAATTTTTTAAAGCTGAAAGCTATTGAAAGCTTTTGAAAACAACAAGATACTCTTTAAAATTTATTGTTTTTTTGAACCTCAAACCATTCATGAAATGCAACAGTGCACTCTGTTAATATATACTAGCAGCTGTGTAACCTCCTTTTTATATCTAATAAATCACCTTGTTTAAAAAATTATGTACGATAACCAGACCCAGAATCAGATGTGGAGACATCTAAACAACTATAACTGAAGGAAGACCCTTTTCAGCCTGTCCAGTGGAGAATTGGCAGGATGTCCAGGGAGCCAACAAACCGATTAGGGAGCCGGCACCCGTTTCGCGAACGTCCCGTTAACGTTTCGTGCCCAGAATCAAATATTCAAATCAAAATCTAGAGAATAAAAGCGCCGGTCTTGGCTAACAAACTAGTCAATTTTGTTTTGTTTACCAATAGCTTTATCACGTTATCTGCAAAACTATAGGGTTCTATGAGGCATTTTAACTCACGTGGCCAGCATCTACGTTAATGCATTGCAACAAAAGAAAGTTTTTACATAAGAAAAGAGTTAAATTCCTACAGGGTTGTCTTGTTACACCAACATGGCCGCCGTTTCATTGTTTTGAAACACCAATATGGCCGCAGTGATGTCACGTGAAAACGCTCTATTGCAACGTCTACTTTAAATGTAAACAGCAACAGCTTTCCGGGCCCGTTAATTATTGGGACTTTCGAGGGCCAGAAGCAGAAGGAAAAGGTCCCTCCATCCCTTTCCGCCTTAACGTCTTTTCTTTAGGGGCCAATTTAAACATGAGCTACACCCACATTGGTCTCCCGTAGGGGTTTAATTTTAATTTTCCAACAACCATGATCCCCGTCACTTTTATATGGGGGCCCCCCCGGGACCTTGACGTGTTTATCAGTATTATAGAAGGGCTTCTGATCCGCCAGTCTTGGAAAGAGTAAAATGGAAAAGCAAACCTTCTGCCCCTCGAATCAATGATGAAGCTGCACAACGGATTTTAATCCTTGTATTTTGTCCAAGACTGTAGATCATGGCTTTGCTCATTATCGTCAATAGGCCCTTTCAGAGTTACCCCATGCCTCTGATTAAATG